GAAAGTACACATAATCTCCACTAACAAGCTTTCAACTGGTACATGTTTCAGAGTATCAGGATAGTTCTTATGCAACTAAAGAAATTTGGGTACATTGGAAATACTTAGATACTATATCCAGACATTAGAATGTTTTTGTTCTCAAAGAAGGTTTGAAATGTTTGGCTATTTATTTTTAAGAAATTAAAACAAGCTAATACAATTTTTTTTTCAGAATATAGACCAATTTGCCCCTTTTGGGGAATATTTTCAAATTATATACCACCTAATTTATTATAAACTATATGCTTTTAAAACACTAACAAACACACAACCCCTCGGCTTAGCTACAGTTCTTTGGCTAAACCAAGTCATTAACTGAAAATTTCCACTCACATTAAGTGTCTTGAACTTCTAAGTGGGCTAAATGAAGTCTATGGTTTCAATCTGATCCATATTATAAAAAGATAACATTACTGTTAAAATGTCTTAATGGCAGTTTCTAGAAGTAAATGTGTGTGTGTGTGTGTGTGTTGTGTATATTCTGAGGTGAATTGGGTGGCTATGAGGGAGCCATGTCCTTGTGTGAGTAGGCTTCACATACTGGACATGACAGATCCTGCATCCAGAAGATAGCAAACCACAAGACTTGGACCTAGGAAGGTCAAAATACTATCAATGCTATCAATCAGTGAAATGATAAGCAGGTTATTACCTTGTTCTATGAATATATACTGGACACATTTTAGAGTCTGCTGCTGTACATTTGAAAAGTCTTTAGAACCAGACAAATTCTAGAGTGCTTAAAACTTTAAAGGCAGCAATTTTAATAATCTTGTCAATACAATTCTTTTGTTTTAAAAAAAACCAGTTGAGACTGATTAGCCTGCTAATATTGCAAGCAAAGCACAGGGTCTATATCTTTAGATCTTTTATTGAACTGCAAGCACAGCATCAATAACTGCTTCTCAGCTGTAAATGAAAATTGATTTCAGCTTTAACTCTTCATTTTCAGGGGTTCTCTTAATCGCAAGAAATGTAAGAAGAAAATTTTGACAAAAAAGGAAACAGAAGGTTTAGTCAGGGCCATGCAGAGAACATGGTATGTCCCCATTCGTATGCAGCTCATCCCCTTGTATCCAGCCACTTCCTGACTGAACACCAGTAAGCTGATCATTGCACAATTTCTTGCTCTAGCTGATTGACTTGAAAGTGGAAATTCAGTAAGTTTTGCAAGGGGAAGGCTGGAGATGAGAATATATCTGTACTATCAACACTCTCAGATGACAATTAAAAATTCTATCAATCATCTGGGTGAATGACATTAAAACCATTCCACTAACATCCAACTGGTCAACTGGTTTTTCTCTTCCTTCTTTTCTTCCTTCCTTCTTTCCTTTCTTTCTTTCTTTCTTTCTTTCAAACACTATATTGTTACAAAAATGTTCACACAAACACTAAATACAAAGAATTGTTTCTTATACCAACACTGTTCCTGGAACTTTCTAATGTTCAATATGAACTCTAAGTGGTATTTACATCTTATTTGGGATTATTTTCTGAGGTAAACAGTGGAAATATGGCATTTCATAGGCCTGTAAGACTATTTCTGGGAGCAGAGCAGCAGCTATTTCAGAAAAGGAAGAGACAAACTGAATTCAATATGTGTGATTCAACTGTCTATCTATATCATTTCTTGGAAGAAAAATTTCCAGAGACATGTCATTTTCTGGAGGACTTGATATAGTGTCATTGATGACCTTATATCTGGAGATGCTTACTTAAAAGTTGTCAGGACTCAAGGGAGTTAAGGTTGTTCACACTTGACAGATATCTTTGAATGTCAGTTAGGACATTTAATCTAGTTCTTAGTAAAGCCTATGGACACCTAAGCCAAAAGGAAGAGTAATGTCTATTCTCTTGTATATCTAAGAGAGAATTTCAGTTAATGCTAAATGGGCCACAAGGAAGGATAACTACATACTTTTCATACTTACAGTTTTCTGCATACGTTCTCATAGCTAAGCTTTGTCTGATCTTCACAACACTCCTATGAATTAGACAAGACTATTTTATCCTAATTTACTTGCAGGAAATCTGAGATTTCAGGATGTTTGGCAATTTCCCTAAATGTGATATAATTAGTATGTATGAAGTAGGACTTATTATCAGGCTTCTTCATTCCAGAAACTACACTCCTAATGATTACACTTTTAATTTCTCATGGCCAGGCACACACAACTAATAAACATTAAGACAAGATAGATTTTTTTCATTCAAGTTTGCCACATGCTGAGTATTTTTCATGTTCCTAATTCAGCAGTTCTCTTTATCTTCCCATTCTTTTTAAGAAAGGGAAAGTGGAGAGACCTAGCATTTCCAAGCATTCTAGACTATTTAGATAATCAGATGTAACAATAACAATGCTGAGTATCATGTAAAGTGACGAGTATCTGCCATGCCCTAACCTTTAGTGTCAAGTTCTTCGATATGTATTGGCTCATTTTTCGCATTGAATCTACTATGACTCAACGAGTAGGTAGTACTGTTATCTTTATTTTATAGAAACTAGATCTTTTGCTAGAATTCATTCAGTTTGAACATGTTAAGGCTAGAATTAAAACATATATCTTTTCAGCTACAAGACTGCCCCCACACTTACTTTTTGATAAGTGTCTTAGCATAGGTACACCATCTTAGAGCACTGTGAATTCATGTTAACATCCCTCAAAGTCCAGATTAAGAAGCAAAATGCAGTAGGGATGTAGAGAAAACACATTTCTTTTTGTGTATGTGAAATGCATCCTCATGAGGCCTCGGGAGGTAGAATGGTCCCAATAGTGAGATAAATGACTAGAGCCATATTATCTACATGGCCCAGTGGTACCCAGATGAAAACTATGCCTATGGTTCCTTTATTAGCAACAAACATAAAATTAACATGAGACCCAGTGTTTCTACTTCTTTTTCATGCTAAAAGGAGGCAACATAAGTGTCCGTGAAAACAGTTTGCCTTAAGTACATACAACAGCACTAGATAGTAGCCAAAAGGCAGAACTGACTAAAATATTGTGAAGAGATGAACAGATAAACAAAATGTGCTTCATTCAAACAATAGAATATTGTTTTGCCATAAAACTAAATGAAGTGTTACTATATTGTACAACCTTAAATAACTTAGAAACAAATCATTGTAGTAAGTAAAGATCCTAGATATTAAAAAGGCCCAATATTGTATCATCCCATTATACGGAATAGGCAAATCTATAAAGACAAAAAAGTAGATTAGTGAGTAATCTTCATGGGCTAAGTGAAAGGAGGAATGAGTATACTTTATGTGTATTGAATTTCCATTTGGGACAATGAAAATATTTTGGAGTTGGTGATGGATATACCTGTTTGTCAGTGTACTGAATGTCACTAAACTATGAGTTTATAATTTCTAATTTTATGTTTTATAATATTTAAAATAATAAATAGAAAACAGTTTTAAGTCATATATTCTTGGAAAAGAATGCTAAGCTCCATAAATCCATAGTTCACCAAATGTTCTCATTAATACCAAATAACTATAGCTTTCTAAGTCTCTTAACTTGTCTCAAAACTCTCCCAAGCAGCTCATCTGTGAACATTTGCCATCTTGTAAGTACTTCCTGTTCATCAAACTCAACTATAATACTTTGCTGTACTGTGTTTCTCCCACTTCAGATCTCTTATTCAATGAAATATCTTTAGCCTCCTGAAGAAAGGCATGTCTGATCAGAAGACAACAGGCCATAGGAGCTCCTAATTTATCATTCCTGAGCATCCATAGGTATTAGCACTTTATATAGTATCAGCAAAGTTATCTCGAAATCACAGATGTTTCAGTCAATGAGTCTGATGCCATTTACTAATATAATATAAAAATAATCATATGAATTATAAAGCAGAAATGCATTTATATATTCAGATAAAGAGAAAAATCAACGTGCAAAATTCACTCTCAGTTATTGCTACATTCTGCTCTAAACATTTCCATTAAAGTTTAAGGTTGCAGCTGTCAAAATCAATGATGTAGAATTTCTGCTTTGTTTTTGTTTTATTTACAAATGCAATGCTATTTGTTATTGGCATATTAAATGTAGAAAGCAGAAATGACAGACATAGCCAATGAAGTGTGTGTTTTACATTTATTATGCAGTTCACACTCAAGTAGAAAAGGAACTGCTTGTACTTGGTAAATGCACAGCAAGCACCTCAGAAATAGCTGTGAGACTGTGAGAGTGCAGGTAGTGCTCTCCTTGTGCTTGTTCTTCATAGACCACCAAGACTTAAAAACATGAAAGATTTAGATAGTATCAAAATTGCCTTCAGTACTCCATATTATGTGGCATAACAATGAGAAAAACTCTACATATGGAAAACAGTACAGGGATCATTGCTATATATCATTGCTGATATAGGGATTTAATAGTGCTGTTTACTTTTTAAAACCAAGAAGTCCAGTCTCATCAGAGATGATTAAATAAATCAGATTACAGTAATCTCTTCTGGAGAGAAAGTACTAGAAATTATTCAGAAAATAAGAAACCAAGGACAACTGAAAGCTTTTGCTGAATGCATGATGCTGCAATATACAGGGTGTTCATTCTCAGCTCCACTGTGGAGAAGAAAATGGAGCAGTGACATTTACACCCAAATTATTGCCTGTAAATGCTAAGCTTCACCCTGGAGTCACCCAATGGACATGCCACCCACATACAGCAAGTAGTTCAAAAGACAGAAAGATAATACTCTATTGATTATTGATGAGCAGTATTTGTGTACGGAAAATATTGTGAAATTAGATTGGTTTGGAAGAGCTCAGCATCTCTCTGCTGTAGCTTTAATGAAAATGGCAGTTGATTTTATCTGTTCCCAAACACTGCTCATCTTTGTTTCTTTTGCTGCAAAAGGAAAAGATTGTGCTTATGAAAGTTATTCTAGTCCCTTGTGCCCCACCCTCTCAAGCTCAATGCAATGCTCTAAGCCCTTCCTACCTGGTAGAGCTCATTGGCTGTGCACTGTGTGGTCAAGGTCTTCACAGGCTCAAGGTCATCTTCATCACTGCTCAGCTTCAAGTCATCCTCAAGCATCCTGAAGTAAATCAGAGTGGCATTTGTGTTACAAAACATCTTGTCTAAATTATTCTCAGATTCACCTTGCAATGAGAATACAAATATTGTTACTAGAATCTGACAGCTGCAAAAGTATAGAGGGAACCAAGAGTCTTTCAGCTAATTAGATATTTGAGCTCTTATAGTTATGTCATAACTTCCCATATCTTCTATTGCTACCTTGCCCTAAATCAAGGGACAAATAGATGATTTCATCATCTCCAGAGATGGCAGGAATCTATATAAAAGAATAATAAGTGTACTGGTCAAGCACTACAGGGTGATGGGGATTGCTTCTCCACAGACCAGTTTATTTGACTTCCAGGCAGGAAGGTGGACAGGAATGACAGCACTGCTAAGCTGATCTGGGGACTACTGGGAAAGACTGTTGGGGCTCTCTGAATGACAGACTTCAAGGAAACCTTCACAACCTGTCTGTATGGGCAGCTCAGTGACCACAAGAATCTGTGCGAGAAATGGCTAGTCATTAACCTTTTGATAAATGTTCCATCTCTTGCTGGAAAATATGATCCAAGAGATGTAAACCCATGTTGTGTATAAGAAAACTTTCTTTCCTAAAGCAAGGTACTTGGAAAATATGAGAGGTCTAGATATTGGTGATGAACTAGCACCTTCAAAACTGTTTATTGGCCACACAAAGCCTTTAGTTTTGTCAGAAGTATTACTTTGAGTGTATCTGCTATATTCAAGTTGGAGCTAGAGCAGGAAGGGCAGCTTATTTTCTTAAAGTTCCAGGTGCATATCCTTCAAAGACCAATTTGTGTTCATCTTTTAATTTATTAAATATAACTTTAGACCTTATCATCATGATGCAAGTAGAGGAAATCTCAGTTGTTCTGGACGAGTTCCCAACTACCAGGAATGCTCTGCCTCTCTTTTTTTTTATTCCTTTTCCTGGCTCAGTACCAAGCTTAACTCTAAAGCAAAAATTCTACCCCTCAACTCTAGAAATCATACACTGTGTCTTCCCATGGCTCATTCAGGCTTTTATTCTTTTATAAAATTTTTTGAGAAATAATATTCTTAAAAAAGAATCTCTCTTTCCAGAATCCATCTCTGTCAGGGCAATGGGCAGAGCCAATAGCATCTCCTGGGACCTGGATTCTAGATCAGCCTCTGTGATGCCTAGACTTAATTGTGTCTCCCACACTTTCTCTGTAAAATGGTGGTTGTAGAGGGGTGTTCCCTCTCTCTGGCCTTCCAGAATAACGGAGGACTGCAAGCTTCAAGCCACAAAGTCAGCTAAGTAGATCTCATAGGGTTTTACAGACTGAAGTGACAATAATGGCACAGTTTCCAACAGTTTCTCTCATTCCCACCAGTCCTTAATGCTCATGTGGCTGACAGAGAGCACACGATTCACTTCGATTGTCTTTACAGTATCTTTCCAGAAAAGACAGAGTCTACCAACTTCATTTTGGAGACAAGGAAGGAAAGATTCAGGTAGGTGAACTCAAGGTCACACAGCTAGTCAGTATAACATCAATCCTAAAATTCTCATTTCTGGATTCCCATTTGTTATGTATCTGTTATATGTTATTTTAGAGGTCTTGTTTAATTGTTGGAAAGGGCTTCTTCATGTCACAGTGGCCATGTAATAATTCTCCAAAGAAAGCATAGCTTTCCCATCCCCAATGGAGACACTGAGGTCTAAACAACAACAACCACAACCAATATAAAGGATGATTAGTAAGATGGACAATTATATGAGTTGGGTTTAGATAAACTGATTTTGAAGGATTTATGGCTGTTCTACAAATAACTAATAGCTATTTCCAAGATATTAGAGGAGACAATATGTATCTCAACATTTCTTTTGAAGTTTTGGGTTTGTGGCTGTAAATATGCGTCTTAGGAAATGAGGACTATATCACTTTTATGGGCTATAGAATCAAATACATTTAAACCATCTGTGCTTCTAGTTCTAAAATGGTTTGCTCTGTGTATGCATGTGTATGGGTTATAGTATGCTGAAGTGGTCAGCATAATTAATTACCCAAGATTCATCTATTTGTAATGGCCAATTTTCTTTTTTTCTTTTTTTTCTTTTTTCTTTTTTTTTTGGGGGGGGGGAATCCCATTCTATTTATTGCAACAGAAATCTACCCATCACCAAGTAACATGCAGTAGAGGATGAAAAGAAGCCACAGAAGGAATACAAGAACAATGTAAGGAACTTCTGTAAGTTGATTTCCCCACACACAGCAAACTTCCATACCTATTCCCAGTGTGTCAAATATAAACCACCACTATAATTGGTGATTTCTACCAAAATGCTTCAGTAATTTAATAAATAATTTACTTCTTTCAAGGTTATGAGAAAGAAGAGATGATAAAATTTATTTTCTTGAAATTGAATACAATGGTGATGTGTCTAGTATTTCTTGAAATAATTACATGGATAGAATTTTTGCCTTTTATGAGTTTTTTCCTATTTCTTCACATCAATATGACAAAGAGTTTAAAATATTTACAAGGTGTCTTAGTCGGGGTTTCTACTCATGCACAAAACATCATGACCGAGAAGCAAGTTGGGGAGGAAAGGGTTTATTCAGCTTATACTTCCACATTGCTGTTCCTCACCAAAGGATTTCAGGACAGAACTTCACACAAGGCAGGAACTTGAAGGCAGGAGCTGATGCAGAGGCCATGGAGGAATGCTGTGTACTGGATTGTTTCCCTGCCTTGTTGAGCTTCTTTCTTATTGAATCCAGGACCACTACCCCAAGGATGGCACCACCCACAATGGGCTGGGCCCTCCTCCCTTGATCACTAATTAAGAAAATGCCTTACAGCTGGATCTCATGGAGGCATTTCCTCAACTGAGGCTCCTTTCTCTGTGATAACTCCAACTTATGTCAAGTTGACTGACAAAACAAGCCAGTACACAGGGCTAGAGACATAAGCAAGCAATTAAGATAATTCATTTTCAGGAACAATCTCAGGTGTTCAACAACATCTGGTAATTCCTACTACTAGAAGATCTATCAATTTAATTTTCTTGGAAATCAGCATGCACATCCATATACTCAAACAAAGCCATACAGACATCTCACAATTAAACTAGCACAAGTAGTAAAACAAAATCTTCCTCATGAATGTTCTTCTTGTATAAGCATTCATTCCTATAACCCAGGGGTTGAGGCATCTGAAGAAACCCAGAGTTTTTCTTCATCATGAATTGGCTCATGTAACAGAAAGCAAGCATGTTAACTTGAAGTCAAGGAAACCAATCCTTCTCAGCTCAGGTGGTGGTATCATTTAGGGAGATTTAGGAAATGCTGTTTTGCTAGAAGAAAGATGTCACTTGGGGGTAGACTTGAGATTTTACATCCTCACACCATCTCTAGATGACACACTCTCTTTAATGCTAGTTTGAGGATGTGAACTTTGAACTCCCTCCTATATCTGCCGTGTTTAACACTTGTTGCCATGACACATTCATGATGATCCCATATCCCTTAGGAACTGTAAGTCATATGAAAGACTTCCATAAGTTGCCTTAAACATTTTGTTTTATCACAGCAACAGAAAAGGCACTAACACACACCGATTACTCCCATTACACCTGAATGAGGTTTTTTTCATGTAATAAAAGGGAATTGTGAAATCTAAACCAGTTACCAATAGCTTATAGTTAAAATTCTTAGGGTTTTTTTTCGTCCATATGAGTTTGTGGGTAGAAAAAAAATAGAGACATAATTATATTTGATCAGATTGTTGACACTTGTTGAGAGACTTTCTGAAGAATAAATAGTCTAGTATAATTTAATGGGAGTAGGTTGGCTAAAGACTACTGTGTGACGCAAAGGCTTTAGCGATTGTAAACATGCTAAATGTTTTACTCTTGTACAAAGATACCAGGAAGTGCAAACATTTGCCACATTAACTACATGTGAAGTGATTCTCTGCAGTATGGCTTTTTCTCATGACATTAAAAACTACTAGTACATGCATAGGCTATACTACAGTGTTTATATTCGTAAAGTTTCATGAGTGGCCAATTTTCTATATGAGGTATAGCACTAAATATTTGATCTAGGGCACAGAATTCAATGCCTGAAAGAAGCCTATGATGAAAATCTGTTGTAAGTGACACTTCTTAATGAGGCTTAAAGATGTTACAGAACGTTCTTATGACTGCATAAGATGAAGCCAAGGAGGCACACTTGGGACCCAAGCCATCTGCAGCCTCCATTTAGGAGTACATGTTTTCCTAGAGGACACAAATGATAAATAATGGTACGTTAAATTCTATCTGAAACAAGAACAAAATGAATTCAAAGACTATATTAACATAAAATGACCACAGGTTAATCATAGGTTTGGGCATATTTTCTGAGTCATTATGATATCTAAGCCACGTGTTCATCCTTTGTTTTACATACTTTGGTTGTGAGCAATGTGAATCACAACTGGAGCTAATAGTGCGGATACTTGACAAAATCATAAAATTCATTTGGGAAAATGTCAGCAATCTACGGATAAACAATGGTAATTCAGGAAATGTCTACTAGCATCTCAAATTTGGATCTAGAAACAGGCTCATAGTCTTTATGTTTCTTACCTCAGGTGTTAAATGAGACCCCCAGGACAGAGACTCAAATTTGGGTTATTTTACTTCCTAAAATACAGCCTATGATTTTATCATGGAAATGAAATGTTCTCCAATTTATAATTCTGAAAATAGGCAGCTGCTGGTACAATTTTGTTCCTTAGGACTTTTAAAGAAAATGTCATTTTGAAGTTATCCTGTGCTTTCCAGATTCTTCTATCTGGTTACCTTAGGGGTATGGGGTAAGGCGTTGTTTCACTCAGGTTTTGGACTTTAAGTTAAGACCCACAGTCTCTGGTCCATCTAACTATTTTAGAATTTTCTGATTACTTAGATTGTCAGTGGCATACTGTGTACCAAGAGCTGATGGCAATCAGTGTAAGATCCTGATAGCTTCAGTTGCA